CCTGCTGATTGAGCGACCCAGCTCTGGGGACCACTCCTGTGTGGCATGGAGAAAAAAAAAACACAAAAGTAAAATGAAGTTGAGTTTTGAAAAATACATTTATACGACATCCGCTGTGTTTCCTGAATATGTTAAATTAGTAAAAAAAAAATAAAAGCACAAGATAAACTGTCAGAATGTCGTTTTGTTCCTGAATTCCAGCTAAAGAACCAATAAAGGCCGTGGAAATAAATGTATTGAATAATTTAACAGATGATGACGACGAGCTCTGTTCTCACCTGATCTAAAGGAAAAAACTGACAGATCGACTGCTGTTCTAAAGAAATACTATATCATGTATATACTACCATATATGACACAATACTTTTTTTTTCAATAATTTTCTTTTTTTAGTAAATAAAGCGACAAAGGACAAGTTCTGTGGATAAGGAAATGCAGAGGTAGAAAAATCACTGAAACTATGTCCCAGATAAACACTAACTTGAAAACACACACACGCGCGCACACACACACACTAGCCGTAATGACAGGGTGCTGCCAGTGGTAGGTGGCTGAGGATACAGTTACTGGTATTTACAGTCTCTGAGGAGAACAGAACAAACAGCGTTGTTGTATTAAAGGTGTGTGTGAGAATGTGTGTGCGTGGACTAAAAGTCTCCACAAACAGAGAAGTGACAGCACTCATGCAGAGGACGCCACATTTACAAATGAATACAAATTCAAAGGGGCGATTATAGAGGAAGGTTGTACTTTTACTTATTTTGACAGAATTATGAATGAATGAAGGCCCAGAGTCCCCACTAGAGCAGGGAGACAAACGTGTGTGTTAGAGTTGGACAATGACTCTCTGTTCTCCGTGTGTCAGCAGTGCCTGTGAGAATTCCAAAAGATTCTCCGGAGAGCAGAGGAGACTCATAACCTCTCGCCAACATCTCTGATTCACTTTCAGTTTTGGGGAAAAAATAAATTCAAACCTCAAACAGAAAGTGTTCAAGGAAGTTACTGGTTTATTCTCCAGGTTGATGAAGAACTTGAGTTCTCTGTGGTTCAGTATTAATAGATTAGAAAACTCATGAGCTCATTCACTGTGAGTGACGGTAA